ACATACCCTACATATTAAAATAAAATCAGGGGTTAAATTATCACTAAACTATACCTACATTCATAAAATATCAGATATTCCAAGGGTTGAGTTCTACATACACATATCATAAACATCAAAGAGCATCTTGTGATCCTAGTTAATTACTGCGCATATGTATAATTTCTCTAATTCATAAATTTAGGTCAATTGTTTTCTTCCAATAAGCACAAAACTTTGTTAGAAAGAAAAGGAGAAAGTGAAACAAAACTAAAACATAAATAAGCCCGAGAATAAAAAAGAAACACAAAAATAAAAGCAAAAAACACAAAATCTGAACTAATTAACGTGTACATATCACGCAAAAACCCCATTTTTTGATATAAAATAGTTGATGCTATGTGTGATGCGCGTGAGAATAATTCTGTAGGTCTCATTCTTGAGTTAAATTTTAATTATTGCGTTATTATTAAAGAAGTAAATAAGAAAGAAAGTGAAACAAAATGAACAAAAGTGAAAGAAAAAAAAAAACACATAAAAAACAAGAATGTATAGTTGTAAAAAAAATCATGTGATTAAATAAAGAGTGAGAAAAAAATATGAGGAACCAAGAAGCTCTTAGAATACGGTGAGCCTAATTTTATTTGGTCTAGCCCGAAAAGTTTGCAGTGCGACACATGTATGATGGAACTTTAATTATGAAATTTTTTAAAGATCTGTAGTGATAGCGGAAGGATCGGGCAGATAGGAGACAAAACGTTTAGTCCGTGTCCCCTCATAGACGAAACGTTTCATGATGGATGAAACCAGGCACACATTACACTTTTTAAGTATTGTATGGAAATACGGCTGCAAAACACACACATATGTAAGCTTTTTTATTGTTGATAAGTATGTGTATAGTGTACTTCAGTGTTTTATGGTAATATCCATACAAGCACTACAAGAAAAAGGGTTATTAGCGACGACAAAAAGTTGTTGCCAAAAATAGAAAGTCGTCACAAATGAATTTTTAGCGACCACTTGTCGTCACAAACCTGTTGCCGCAATTGATTCGCGAGAAACCACCCAATTTCCCACCCCTTTTTTACCACATCACTGCCAACTGTAACAGTCAATATTTGTGATGACATGTCGTCGTAAATAATTGACAAACTGGCACCAAAATTGTTGGCACCAGATTGGTTTTGGCGCTAACGGATATTAGCGATGACATAACTTGTGAAATTGTAGCTACGACATGTCGTCGTAAATAGTGAAATTTTGTGCAATGACATGTCGTTGCAAATACTTAATGTGACAACAAGTCGTTTAAAAAAATTATTTTCTTTTTAACGACGATATGTCGTCGCTAATACTGTAATTTTAACAACGATAAATGTCGTCACTAATAACCCTTTTGTTGTAGTGAAAATTTGAACCAATTAACAAAGGCTAACAATATCCAACTTAACCTTTCACACACACACACACACACACAAAAAAGCCAATATCAACTTAACAAGTAGAAACTATAACTTATTCCAATGTAATATGTATTCATTAATGAGTTTTTCATATTAGGTATAAAAATTTTCCTCTTTATAAGGATTTATTTTGAATTGCTAGATTTATATTAATATATCAGTTTTGCATACTTTTTTATTTTTAAGTAATTTTAATTAAATTTAACATTCAGACACGTGTGCTACGCTAAGCATATTATAAAACTGTTAAAATTGATTATGTTAATCACGCTGTAGGTTAAGCTCAAGCATGATATTAGTATGTATTTTATGTAAGTATAAACTTTTTGTGCAGTCAATTCTATTGTTTTGTTCAATTCAATTGAATAGGGATTCGTATTTGACATATAGGGCACATTTGGAACTCGTTTCAAAATAATTTTATTTTTTTGTATGAAAATAAAAATAAAAATATTTTTTATCTCAGACAGAAATCATTTTTAAAAATGCGTTTGGTAGTTTTATCAAGAGATTATTTTCAGTATAAAAAACCTATTAATGTCTCTTTTTCTCTCTTTACTCGAGAGATGAGAAAACGAAAACAAAAAATGAAAAACGAATAAAAATTATTTTTCATTTCTCTCTCATTTTACACTAAATCAAAAAATTATATTTATTTTCGTATTTATTTTTATTGCATCAAACGTCGTTTTAAAAAAAAAAAAATTTTGAAAAACGTGAAAAATAAAAATGATGTGAATTCTAAACATTACCATTGTGTGGTTGAAAATGCCCCAGGATATGGAGCATAATAACATGGCATTGAAAGAGTTAGTTTTGCTAATTCAACGGTCCAATAAGATTTCATTTATTAGTACAGTGTCCTTGACTTTATAATAAGAGACATTAATAACTTTACGAAATTACTAGAGTGTCAAAAGCACACGGAATCAAAATTAACGAATTATTATGAATCAATGAATGACGAACCTAAAAGTTCATAACTGTGTAGGGTTCAACTTTTCGCACTCTCATATCAAGATGTACCTTTTAGTACTATCACATCTTATATACAGTACCAAGAGAAATAAACAAATAAAAAAGATTAGTAATTTGAAGAGATAACTCTGCCGACAATAGTACTTGTTTTTTCCTCACTGGAAGAAATGACTTCTAATCATAATTAATTGACCTTATAATAACTAGTAGTTAATTCTTCTACCTACTCAGATTAGGAATTAAAGTGTTATTTGGTTGGGGAATTTGTACACTGATTTAAATTATGATTCGTGATTTAATATAATATTTTTTTTATAAAAAATACACGTAAATCAAAAATGATTTTAATTTCATGATTTTAATCCATGAACCAAACGTCTCTTAAGTGTTTACTATAGACAAAATAAGACTGAAATTTATGAGATAAAATTGAGAAATTCTTTAATAGCATACGAAATCCTTTATTTTTGGGGACTAACGGAGCTCCGGTGCCGTATTGATGAGGGTGCATCGTTACTTAATTTATCTGATTTATTTAATGTTCTAAAATATTTCATCTGGCCCTTAATTTACTTATTTATGATTTATCGTATGGCTATAGTATGACTGGTTTTGTTGATATTAATTGATTAAATTTATCCATTGATTGTAGAGGATCAGTGTATAAATCATCTATGTACTCAATTTCTTTTTACTTTTTTGGTCTTTTTCGTTTGTGGAGCCGGGTACAAAATATTTCTTGATCTTTGAATAGCCGATTTGAGTTTGTAATTCGAGTTGAGATGTGATTTTATATGAGAACTTTTTACTGTAGTAAAAAAATTAAATGTGATTGTTTTTTAGAACTTTTTACTGTAATAAAATTTTAAATTCGAATCAGTGAAGTAAACGGGTCCTCATGTTTCTTGTAATAGAAGGATGTGAATTGATGTTTATAATGTCTTTTAATTTTTGAATCAATATTAATGTAATTATTAAAGTCACATCCATATATATACATATATATATATATGTATATAGGGTGTTTTTATAGTCCATTCACTACTGTTAGACGAACTGATTCATCCTGTTAATCTGAACTCTTGCTTTGAAATTGTACGGTCATGATTGAGTAAAGAATAATATGACAAATGGAAAAAGTTACCGGTTGAACTCTTTAATATATATATATATATATTTTTTTTTTATATAATTTCGTTTAAGAGAAAAATTATTCCCAAAACGCCCGTCGTGTTTGGGCTTGTCAACACAAAAGCAGGGTGTGGAAAAAAAAAAGGAAACGGAAGGTTACAATTTCTTCTTTACATATTAGTCTAATCAAAATTACATTAACGGAGGTTAATTACGGTTTACTCTCACTAATGATTAATAAAAATAATTTTTCAGCTATACATCATTCAATTACAAATAATTTTTCATTCTCGGTTTTAACTATATTCATATCCGCGCATGCGTAATTTTTTTCATGTCTACTTATGTGTTAGCAATACGCTGATACTGACTTACAACATAACCACAAGAATCGAGACCTAATTATTCTTAAAAAAATGAATTAAAAAAAAACTCGTCGACTTATTAACATAATACCTTCATTTCGTACATCTTTTTGTTTCCTTTTTTTCCCTTATCAACTCAATGTCGAGAAACTAGTTAACATGGAAAAAATGAAAATAAAATTATCTACGACCTGCTAAACTAACACGCTCAAAACCAGCCCCGATAGCTTTTATAGTGGAACTCTGTTGTTCTACCAAACTGGATGAACTTTTCTTCCCCTTTTTTGTTGTCTTATTCTTTTATTCAACTTTGTATTTTCATGCACTTAAAGTTTCATAAATCAAACAGAGTTTTACTTTTTCAACGAAAAGGTTTTAATACTGCAGTGATTATTTCATCATCAATTATTCATGATCTTTTCGGCTGAAGGGAACAACGCAATTTTGACAAGTGAATTGCCTAAAATTCAGCAGCAAAGTATTGTCTTAAGTAAGAATAGCAGTACCAATGACAATGAAAAAGAGGTTAAGACAGAAGACTTTTATGGGAGGTTTATTTACTATATGATATTCTCATTTAAGACGAGTTTAAGAATTACTTTGAATGCTTTTATGGTATAATAGATGTTCAAAATAAAATTCTCAAGGGTACCTTTGTAATTGCACATTCAATATTCAAATTTCTCTAGTAAAAGTACGCCACGTGTTATTTTACGTTGAAAGCTTAACAGAAGGGAGGATTTGCAACAATTCACAAATTTGTGGCGAACATGTATTACAAAATTAAGCTTGGGGTCGTTTTGCGACAAAGCCTATAGTTTGGGGGTTAAACGTGTAATTTGTCATAACTAAAGAAACCCGGTCTACAACACTGTTCATTGACGTGATACTTTGTAGATGCTAAAATGTTTCCCTGCAATCCCTTAATGTTATCTTATCATTCAAGCACAAGAAATCAGCCATTTTTTGGGATTTTTAAGATCATTTTCTGCCCATAAAATGTCTCCTTCACTACAATTATACCACCTTAATTGCCCATAAAAGATAAACGTTTTTCTTTTCTGGAAGTGAAGATGGAGTATTTCTAATCAGAAGAAAAACAGTTTGCATTATTAACCTGCAGTACATAGCTTTATGATATGTGGATATGTAATATATCTTAATATACACTTTTTTTTTTGTTGTCTTCAGTGAGGGATAGGAGTGTTATATATCCTTGTCTGCTTAGGCTAGGGGAGAAAAAGAAAGGCAAAAAAAGGTTCTACAAATTACCTTATAAGAACCTATATCCACAAAAACAAAGGAATTAACAAAAGACAACACCTAATTAAGGACATTAATTTGAACTTATAATTATTTTTTTCCTCTCAAAACAGTGATGCACCGTCTTCTAGTGACATGTTAATTAGGTCTTCATGGCCTTGAGCCGCACCATCGTCAAGGAGCCACTTCTCTAGCAACGTGAGAGGCGCTTGTGCTTGGACTTGAGCCCCCATATTGGGCTTGCTCTCATCTTGGAAGAGGCTGGCGGTTTCCGGCGTCACATGGATGGTGGTCTCATCAGCGGAGACCGTCTCATGAGAGCCGTCGGATGAGTTGAAGCTGAACAAGGAGTGATCAAAAGCCTGATGATCATGATCAGGTGTGGTTGTTCCACTTTGTGCCCCTTCACTAGAACTTGAAGTGCCCGGGTAAGCGGGAACTGGGTTGGCCCGGTTCGCTTGACCGGGTTTCGGTGAATTCTTCATCCAATTTTCAAGCAACCGGGCTATGTTGTCGGCGCTTGATGCGTACGCTGATGATGACGGTGTTTCGCATGACTTAGCGGTGTGGTGTTGAGCATAAACGGTGCTAGTTTGAAAAGTATTAAGGATGGACGGCTTAGATTCGGCCAAATTATGATCATCCTGATGATTTGGCTTGTCAAGGGACAAAGCCTCACAAAGGGCTTGTTTGGCCATGTGGATATCCGTCTGAAGCCTTCTCTCCCACTGCCCTTTAGAGATTTGCTGTGAATTATTAGCTGATGAGAACCCATCTTGGGAATGACCATCAAGGCCAGTTTGGAGCTTTTTGAGCTTCTTTTTCAAGTGGGTATTCCAGTAATTTTTTATATCGTTATCTGTTCTCTGAGGAAGATAAGAAGCTATAGCAGCCCATCTGAAATAATATACAAAAAAAATTATGTCACCATAGGGAACAAAGATCAAAACATCACTCTCTTTTGTAAAAACATTGAATAAAAATAAAATCTATATAATCTAACAGTTCTGCAGAATCTACCTATTGGGATTTCTAAAAATATTTAATTATCAAATCTATACAAATTATAAAAACAGCAACAAAACAAGAAGAACAATAAAACTATTTTTCTAAGAGAAAACAGTAAAATAAACCTCACAAAATCCCATCTCTGGACAAATTGAGTCACAGACATAGCTCAGCTTCATTTTTTTATTTTGGTTGGAGATTAATTAAAAGAAAAGGACTTTTATTATTACCTATTGCCCAAAAGAGCCTGAAGGTGGATTATCATTTTCTCCTCGTGATCGGTGAAATTCCCTCTTTTGATTCCCGGCCTCAGATAATTAGTCCATCTAAGCCTGCAGCTCTTACTGCATCTGAGCAAACCTAAAAAGAAAAAAAGAAGAACAAAAAAAAAAAAAAATCAATAAAACACAAAAGAACAAAATCACACAAAAGATAACAAATCTCCCGGAAAGATACAGTACTAGTACACAAAAGAGGTTAAAGGGTCATTAATTTCACAACTTTAATGAACAAACCAACCCCAGTTCCAAATGAGGAAAACAAAAATCATATGTAACCAAACAAATATATATACATATAATAAACACATATATATTTGAAGTAGTGATGATGTTTTATGTACCTGTGATAGTAGGAACTGATCTCCAATTCCCAGGGCCATGTTCTTGAATATAAGAGACCAAAATGATGTCTTCTTCAGGAGTCCAAGGCCCTTTCTTCACTCCAACTTTGTCACAGCAAGGTGGTCTTCCCATTATCTTTCTCTCTGTCTCTGATCTCTCTTAGTAGTAGTAGTAGTAAGTGCTTATATAATATTATATATGAATATGTATATATGTGTGTGTGTGTGTGTAGAGATCTCACAAAGAGATAAAGAGTGTTGAGATTTCACAGATCACAACTCGGCCTTTCTTCTTCTGCTTTTGGGAATCAGATAATTCTATTTTGTGAAGGAATTATATCGACAAGCGTCAAAAGGAAAGGGCATGCCTTGATGTACATCACTTGTGTATATATAGACATATATATATATAGAGAGAGAGAGAGCGAGAGAGAGAAGTCTAAGTATAGCTGACTTTGTGTAAGCAAAGAAGTAAATGCTCATTGCTGTCCATTTTGACTCTTCTAGAGCAAAACTTCTCTCTTTCAATTCTCACCCTTTTACCTCTTCTCTCAATCGGTCAGCGTGGAGACCACCTCTCTCTCTCTCTCTCCCCGCCTCTTAAAACCTCTGTCTCTCTCTCCGACTCTTAAAACCGTGTGGCTACGCCTCTTAAAACCGTGTGGCATTGTGGCATTCAATTCAATTTAGCCTTTGTGGTGGCACCGAAAATTAACCCTAGTTTTAATTCTTCTCTCTCTTCCAAACGAGCTCTCGTGATTATCAGTAATATATATTAGAAGCCTTCCAGTCTACGGTATTGAGCTTGTTTTTGAATATTAAATTTAATAAATATCATACCAAAAATAAAAATATATATATGTATAAGCAAAATTGACAAAAAATATTACATATATATGACAAGTTAAAACAGAATCCTATCAATAATTTTTAACTAGTCATGTCACGTATTTGACCTCAAATACCACTAATTTTTAACTTATCACATATTGAATCCTTTGTAAATGTTGGGATTAAAAATTTTGCGTGTTAAAATTCATCGCGTAGTTTTTAATCAATCACGTATTCATATTTAAATTATGAATTCTCATACTTTTGCATGATAAATTTTAATTGGCGTTTATATATATATATATATATATATATATTCCAAATATTGGGCGTGTAGTGCTTTGAAGAAGGAAATACTTCAAAGTCTGTTAAGTTTGTCTATTCGAATTTTTAATTTAAATTAAAATGTAATTTTATATGAGAACTTTTTTACTATAATAAAAAAATTATATGTAACTATTTTTAAAAAATTTTAATTTTAATAAATTTAAAATTTAAAATTTAAATAAATTAAATGAACGAGACTCACTAATTTTTTCTTATTTTGCATTAAATTGCACTAGATGATCAAGAAGGTTGTTTTCAAAGAATTAATTACCTCGACTCTCGTGATGTGCTTGATTTTGATGTTGGTCTTTACGTTAATGATACAAGTGGACTTTTTAACTTCATTTTTTTTTTTTTTGATGATAATAATCAATAGGTATGAATGTATAATGGTACATGTTGATTTATTTTCCAATAGGATGAGTTCTACATGGATTTAGGCTACAGAGGGGACCAACCCATAAGTACTCAGTGACACTTTTCAATAATGCTTCCACTTCCATGTTTGTATACAAAAATCATCATATATATTTGTTATTCGAAAAATGTTAAAGTTAATTGCTATTTAGGATTAATTTTTAATTTAACAAATGGGCATTGTCTCACTTTCTTTATAATTTAAAGTGGCATAAAATTGATCACTAAGCTTATCAAAAATTCTATTTTTAGTTTTAGGTTTTTACAGTAAAAAACTCTCAAAAAATGTCACATCTAACTTTTTCTGCTACAGTTAAAAGCTCTAAAAAAATATCACATCTCAGCTTGAATTGAAAACTCGAATCCGCGAAGTGAATGAAGCCTTAGGGTTACAAAAGAGGAATCATGCGTCCTTTTTATTTTTATTTTTTTTACCTTTTTACTTTAAAAATTTAAGGTCTACTTTTTTCAAATTTACAATATTTTCCTTTGACAGTGAATCACGTGAACTACAGGCCCATTCACTTCGCTGATTCGAATTTAAAATTCAAGTTTTGCTACAGTAAAAAGCTTTCAGAAACAGTCACATCTAACTTTTTTGCTACAGTAAAAAGCTCTCACATAATATCACATCTTAACTCGAATTAAAAATTCGAATCAGCGAACTAAACGGACTCTACGTATGTTCAAAACTTTCATTGACAGAAATGTAAAAATTACAACTTTTAATAAGTTTGGGAGTCAATTTTGTACTATTTTAAACTATAGGAGACAAAATGAGACAGCTATTTTTTTAGGGATTAAATTTGAGATTAACCCTAATATTTATACGTGGATCTAAGTTTTAATTTCTAAAAAGAAATTGAAAATTGTCGTTTATCGTACGAAATCTGGACAGGTTTAAAAACTTCTTGTCTTTACAGATTGAATATATTTGAAAATTTACTCCGTGTTATTGGAAAGATATGTACACCCTTTTCCAATACATATAAATTTCAATAATCATTATATTCCCTTAAAAAAATACAAATTTCAATATACCCATGAGAGAGAAAGGATGCTTATAAACTTTTATTATAAAAATCATAGCGTTTCCAAAAAATGCTCTTCTTTGTGATCACTATCTTACAAGATTCGTTGAACTGATCAGCAAGCACGTCAACATTATGGGCGACATTTCATATCGATCTTCTTGTTATTGGAAGGAATGTATATGCACAAATTCATCTTATATATACTCATGGGATGTCAATAATTTCTGGTCCCTTTTTCTCTGATATATTCACAATCGTCCGTACGCATATATTCACTTTACATTAATCAACAGAACAAGAAACTATCGTGGATGTATCGCGCATGCCTGTGAATAATGCTTAATATGAAATTTTTAAACAAGAAAAAAAAAGTTACATATTTGAAAACCCCTTGATCAAACGCATGTGATCTTACTTAATAATAAATGAATGCCCCATTTTAGCTTGTTTTAAATTTATTTGTCCCCATAAATAAATACTCAATTAATTGTTGAAATGCCCACTAATTAAATTAGCGCATATGCTAGCTTAACTAGCTTGATACACACACACACACACACACACACAATATATATATATATATATATGTGGTCAATCGTTGGATGACCACCAACCTTATACATTAGCTAATCTTAATGGAAACTTGAATAATCCATTTGGTCTAAGTTTAATTTACTTTTGCTTATGCATTGTAAAACGAAACCCTAATAATCAATTGCAAACCGTAAAGGGTATTATATATAGAGAAATAGTAGAAAATAGGCCAATATGAAAAGTTTAAAAAAATATATAGGCCAATTTTTAGTTATAGAAATTAATAGGCCATAACTTATCAAGTTATGGTTCATAACCAGATAAGTTATGGATAAACTTATCAAGTTATGGTTTATAACCAGACAAGTTATGGACGAAAACAGTAATTTGGCATATTTATTAACTTATGTAAACTATTGGCCTATTAATTTTAATTCATCTTAAGTCTTGGTCTATTTTCCTCTTTCTCTCTTATATATCTCTGACAATTTAGTCTTATTGAAGTTTCTTACTTTTTTTTTCTTTTTTTTTTTTTTAGCGAACAAGGATCAAATCTGAATTTATGTGTTTCTTTATAGAGTTTTAGTGAGTAGATAAATGTTAGCACCGGTCACTATTTTTGTCACTCTCTCTATCATTTTTTACATTTATTATTTGACATGTGTACTCCACTCACATGATATATTAGTATTCAAACAAAAAAAGAGATAATAAAATCCATATGTCAAATAGTAAATATAGAAAGTGATAAAAAGAGTGACAGAAAGAGTGACGCTAACATTTCTTTTAATGAGTATGCTAAACTTGTTTAGATGTGCTAAAGTTTCTACTGCCATTTAGAAAAAATTTCCAAACCTCTTCTTTAATTAGTCGGTGAAGCGGGTATTATATTGTGTAAGTCTACTGATTCCGTGTGAAATCTGACTCAAATTAAAGCACTTTTTTTACCACAATATGATATGGCCCCAATCATGAAGACACATTAATATAGCAGGCTAGCTTAGCTTGTTTGTTTTGATCACTTAGAGTGTGTTTAATTAGTGAATTCGTATCATGGTTCAGATCATAATTCGTAACTTGTTACAATATTTTTTTTTACAAAAAATATACATAAATTAAAAATAATTATGAATCAAAATTTTAAATCTATCAACTAAATGTCCTCTTAATATAGGTAAACGAAAAAGACTGGGATAATTAAAACGTATAGTACATCTTAGCTAAATTGTCAGAAAATAGTTTGACTGTTTTATTTATTTATATCATATATTATTTATTACATCAATCTATCTTTGTATTCTTGGTGTTTTTCTTTTTCTTAAGGAATTCTTGGTATTTTTCATTAGATATATAATTGTAATATTTGTTTCCATGCATTAAATTTGCCCCTATATATGTATATATATTTTCAAATGAACTTAGTTCAAGTCGGCAATTCACCTTTTTAAATTCATTATATAAGTGTGATTTGATGAATTGGGTGAGCATCTGAGAGCAGTATGTATTGCGGTGGACATTTGGACGGTGTACTTGACTCCGAACTAGTTGTGTATGTACGAGTCTTATATGGAGAGAGATCTTATTGGGATGTGTGCGTTGGGCCGCGAAAGGGCCCATCATTGAATTATGAAAATGATGCTTATGATAGGGACATTTTGAGACTTCGTTCATTTATCTAATTTAAGTTTTTAATTTTAAATTTTTATAGTAAAAAATTTTTATGAAATATTATATTTAATTTTTTTTATTACAATAAAAAGCTCTTAAAAATATTATATTTTAACTCGAATTTATGAAGTGAATGAGACCTAAAATTTTCTTAGAAGCAAAATCCTTTCTTTTCTTTGTTTTTTTTTTTTTTTGTTTTTTTTTTTTTTTAGAAGAAGCAAAATCCTGTTTATGTCTTTTTTTTCTTTCTTTGACTCTCCGTTTCCTCTTTGTGGCATCATTATTTAAAAAAAATAAAAAATAAAATTGTCATCCCTAAATTTACTAATAATGACTGATTGATGTAGAGTACAAATCAAGTTTTCATCCAGCTATGACGTTATGTTTAATAAATGATTTATTCAAGATAAACAAAAAAGTTGGAGCATCACTGCTATTAAAAATTAAAGGGCCGTTCTTTTTTCCTTTTTGAATTAGGTGATTTAAATGTAAATTTTAAATTAAATTTGAGTTATAATTTGAGTTAAAGTTATAATTTGAGTTTGTGTTTAATTATGTACATTTAAGTTATGATTTGATATAAAAATCTTTTTGAGTTTGTGTTTGAGTGAGTCAAAACTTGAATTTGTA